CTGACTAGGTTACTTTTAAACATATAACACTGTCAAAAGTGTTAATTTAACACTCAGAGGTGTGGACCCATATAGTCACTCGCCAGTGTTAATTTAACACTGGAGATTTTGCTGTGCAGGCTCATGCTGTTAGTTATGTTTCTGCCAGTCATTAAACCAGCCTGTGCTTCATCAATGGTATCATTAAGTGCACATTTTAATTTTGTAGCCAAACACATTATTTTATAATCGTTATTCAGCAGTGAAATAGGTCCAATCTTCTATCAAAAGGGCGTCTTTTTGAGGTTTAGGAATCAAAGTAATTAGTCCCTGAGGAGGGAGCTTTTCATTATCAATGCTTTCAGTATATTCTTTATGTAAAAGCGTGAGAAAATAATTTGTAACATTCAGAAGTCCACCCGTCCCTCCCTGGACTCTTATTAAGTTTCATTTTATTAATGGCACCTTCAATGTCTAGAGTTGTGATGGGAGCATCACACATGGTTTTATTATTGTCACTAATTGTTTTAACCTCAGGAATGATGGAGGTTTTCCATGGCTTCTGTAGACAATTAGATTTATATAAAGTTTTATAAAAAGTTCACAAGTCTTGGAAATCCCTCGAGGGTCTTGTGACCCATCTGAACACAGTTTAGTCGAGCTGCCGAGAGTTTTGTTCTGCGTCTTCAAGCCGCTTCCTTCTCGCCCACACAAAGCCACCTTTTGCCTTGTAAATATTTATATTATCTCATTTTAATTGTAGAATTTGATGTCTGTTCCTGTTATCTTCAGATAAATTATCAGGTAATCTCGACAAAGTGATATTTTTAACTATTTCAGCTGAATTCAAATTTCATGACCTCCCAATTTTTACAAAAAGCATTTTCAACACATGCCTTGTCCCAATACTCATTGTTTTAATTTCTTTTACCAAAGAGTCCTTCGGTAGAAGAGAATTATTTAATTTCCAATATGAATTCACTCTTACACGGTTTACTGGCATACAAACATATCTCCAAAAAAATAGTTTTATGATCTGTCAAGGGCAACATTTTTGATGTAGAAACATATTCGGATAAAGGATCAGAAATTAACCAACAATCAACACGAGACTGTAATGAACCTGATCTATTTTTCCATGAAAATTCCTTAATCGTTGGATTTTTGAATCTCCAGATATCAGTTAGGTCTCTTTCATTTATAAAATTTAACATAAAATTACTACTATCCTGACTTTTACTTGGCCGTCTATCTATCATGTTATCAAGTGAATGATTCCAGTCTCCTAATATAATCTTTAGATGAGCAAATTTACTTATTAAAGACTCAATTATTTCATTTACTACAAGAGTGAAGGTTCTCAGTCATCCAGGTCATCGTAGTCTAAGGAGCTTGGAAAGAAAAGCGTCTGGACTTCTGTAAGTTACTTGAAGACGTTTCACCTCTCATCTGAGAAGCTTCTTCAGTTCTAAGGTCAAATGGTGGCGAGTCCCCCCACAGAGGGACAAAAGGACCCCCTGATGATCCTCTAATCACATGAGCCAAGGTGGGAAACTGGGTGTGGGCCCCAATCAGCCAGAGTTTCGGGTGAGCTCATTGTGAAACCTGGCCCCACCCTGTCATGTGATGTCCTGAGGTCAGATGGCCCAGGATGTAGCCGGTGTATCAGAGAAACTCAGGAGAGTTTTCTCCAAGCACGACATCCCAGCGTACTTCAGACCCAGCAACATGCTCAGACACAAACTGGTTCACCCCAAAGACAAAACTCCCTGAGATAAAGTTAATAGTAACCTTCAGGTCACTAGCACTCTTCTCGATGTTAGCTCCTTGCTTTTCGATAGCCATCTTAATGCTTTCTGCCGTGTCGGTTTCCATCACTCTTTTCTTACCAGAAGGTTTTGACGGGGAGGAAACAGGATAAGAGCTCTCTCATTTGAGCCCAGGTTTTTTGCCATCACGTACAGCTAGAAGTGTGCACCTTAGAGTCTGCTTTGCTGTTTTTAAAGGAGTTTTAAGACAGAACGAGTTCTGTAGCAGACCGTTCACAAGGCCGCCATCTTGGCCCTCCTGGGCTGCATCCTCCTGAGGCCGCATTTGTAGACTGATTACGTCACAGCAACGCAACGAAGGCTGTCCCAATAGACTCCTCCGAATATGGCCGACAAATGCGTCCTCCTTTTCCCCGAATTTGAAGGATGGGTCGGGTGTGTCCTTCGTGGCCCACCATATCCCAGAATTCATAGCGCGGCCCAGTCAAACTCCAGTTTCCAACAATGGCGGCAGCTAGTTAGTTTTAAAATTACTCTTATTAATCTTTCTTAAACTTAAACTTAAGATATTTTCAGGCGTGAAAGTAGCTGCGTAAACTTCAAATATCTGCTCAGTTTATCAAAACACCGCATATTTGTAAGAGTGCACCAACGTTTTCTGAGACGTCTGTTACCCACCAGCTCGATAGCTGACCGGGGCGAGAACGGCACAACTCCCGGCACATCATGTTAAACACCGTTTTTCAGTGTTTTGTTTGTTCGTGAGTAAATCGGTTTGGCTGAGATTAAAGTTATTAGATTAGATAAAACTTTATTAATCGGGTGGGTACCTCCTTGGTTTTCACACGACTGATTAAGCAGAAGTGTGAGATGGTCGAGAGTTTCCTCCAGTGTCCTGTTATATTTTAGACAGCAAGGAGCAGACGGCCGAGTTTATTAAACTCCACGAGACAGCGGTGACGCTAATCTGAAGGCTGGACTGTCCCATTTCACAGCCGTTTACTTCCAGCCTGCCCGACCCTCTGAGGACCCGGCCCACGTAGACCGTGAAGGCCGGATCCTCAGGAGGATGCAGCCCATGAATTTGGACACAGCTTGAGACGCACAACTACAACACGGGAAAGACCCAAGGAAACTGAGTTTCCTAGCTGTCATAGAGCGAGGGGCGGGGCACACCCTGGACAGGTTGCCAGTGTGTCACAGGGCCAACAGACAGACAACCATTCACACCTATGGGCAATTTGGATTGATCAGTGAACGTGTCCCCACTAACTGCATGTCTTTGGACGGTGGGAGGAAGCCAGAGTACCCAGAGACAACCCACGCAAACACGGGGAGAACATGCAAACTTCACACAGAAAGAGCTGGCCTGATGGAGGAACTGGACTCAGGACCTTCTTGCTGTGAGGCAACAGTGCTAACCACCGTGCCACCGTGCTGCCAAGACTAAAACCAGCAGAGTGAAATCAGACAGTTGTACTTTTACACAGTGAAAAATAATATTTACACTCTAGATGTAAGAAGCAGCTGCAAGAATGTACAACACAGAAATATAGAATTTATCCAGCAGGGGGCAGCACAACACCTGTTTTATTATCCTTTATGTAGGCTTCAATGAGTGTGTGAATAGAATAGAATAGAATAGAATAGAATAGAATAGAATAGAATAGAATAGGCCTTTATTGTCACTGTACATGCACAGTACATGTATAGGTGTTCCACACTGACTGTGACAGAGTAAAGAACAAAGTGCTTGGAAAGACTGAGCGATGAGGGCGGGGCTCCGATCGGTGGGCGGGGTCCGAGGGGTCACCTGTGATGGTTTACCTGAGACAGGAGGATCTGACGATGTCGTCCAGGGGTGGCAGAGGGCAGCTGGGCGGTGTTCATGACCCTTTGTGCAGCTGATTGTTTATGAAATCAAAGTTATCAAATAAAATATTCAAATTATTATATTTTAAAAAAGATAAAAATTTAGATGAAATGAAAAGTGTCATAATATGGATTATAAGATACAAATGATAAAAATAAGGTGTCGAAATTATTAATCACACGCTGTCAGATTTATAGGATGATCAGATTCAACATTTTACACACTGATTTACAACAGAGATGCAAAGATTTAATCCAGACTCACCAAATGACATCAATGTTTCCACATCTGGAGAACAGGCTCGTGTTGATGACATCATCTGTGAGAAAGCATCACAGCATCGTGTTTCTGATCTGTGGATTCGTCTCACAATCATAGTGGACGAGACGTCAGAGAAGTGACTCCGGCCTCAGTCCATGAAACCTCCAAACTTCTCCTTCATCATAAAAGATTCACTCTGTGGGGACGACCTCGAGTCCCCACAGAGTGTTTGAACAGATTTATGTCCCCACAATGTCAGTAATACAGACACACACACACACACAGACACACACCCCCGGGCCATAGACCATAGCAGGCCATAGAGGAGTCCCAGCATGCATCTCTCTGTTCGCCTTGCAATTCAGCTGGAGTGTGTGTGTGTGTGTGTGTGTGTGTGTGTGTGTGTGTGTGTGTGTGTGTGAGTGTGTGTGTGCGTGGTCGGTGGCCTGGAAGCTGAAGGGATGCCTCCTCACGAACACCAGAGAGCAAAATGAAACATGGAGGTCGCTCGTGTCTGACTTCATGTTTGCAGCTGAGATCAGACTCCAAGGACCTGCCAGTGACATCACACAAAGAGGCGGAGCTGAAAGAAAGCGGCCTCTGCTCACAGAGGCGACCATGTTGTTATGTGGGGACCTCCCTGCTCAGATGGCGGTGCGGGGGCCGTCCACGTGTTTCACGGTGAAATCGTAGTTTTAGTGCCTGAGCGGCAGAGTTCAAGCGGGGGAGGGGTTTATATCACCCTTCCTCAGAGGAAGGGTGATATAAACCCCTGCTGAGTAGGTAATAAACGGCACGTGGCGGTAGGGTCCCCCGCCTGATGGAAACCTTAAAACCAAGGGGCGTGCAAAAGAGGCCGCCCATGGCTCCTCGCTCCAGCGCTCACAGCCGTGACCCTCGCAGTGGGAAGGAAACTGAGTGGCTGCTGATTCTGAGGAGGTCAGGTTGGACTTACCTGAGTGAGCTACCTTTAGCTTCCCCTGCAGTTACTGCCCAACAATACAGCTCTCTGATTGGATGATCTGTCAAATTAATTTTGGCTGCTGCAGCAGGTGGACTGAGATCATGTGGTGAACACACCTGATGACATCACGGCGTGTTAATTACAGTGTTATGCAGTGGGTAGGTGGGGGACTGGAGCGGGGAGGGGGTAATGAGAGGTTCAAAATGCATGTTTCTGTGGCAACCACATGAAGGATGTGTAGCTGCATCTGTGTTGCCGTGGTAACTATCACGGCAGCGATGCAAAGCCGATTTAAAAAGAGAAAGAACCAGAGAAGAAGAGCAGAGCGCTGGGTTCTTCTTCTGCTGCTGCTCTGCGAGCGCTCACACAGCCCTCAGCGTGCAGTCAGCACACTTCACTGCATATTCACAGTTTAGGAAGACGTTCTATAAACCGAACCTCTGAGTTCATCTAATGTCCACATGAGGGCAGCCTCCGGCGGGCGGAAGTTCCTGCTGGACTAACTACGCTCCTATCACCTGCTGGAGTCATTGCTTGGAAACGAGCACCATCCTAAACCTTCAACGGTCCAATCAGCACGCAATAAAATCATGTGAAGGTTGTCAGAGTCGTTTTTAGTTATTGTTTTAGGACAGTGGTTCCCAAACTCTTTTTGCTAGGCCACCCTTTGTTTTACAAGAAAATCTACGCAGCTGTTTCTAAGTGTTTGGACACGTAAAAAATGTTTCAAATCACTGAAAACTGAGGTTTTTAAACTCCTTTTTTGCGTTTACGTGGACGAGGAATACAGAGTTGGTCACGCAGCGTCAAAGCTATGTGTCTTTTTTCACGTCACGCTGTGGCCACGTTATTGCTTACATGGGATGAGTTGCAGAATGATAGAGACGAAATACTGTTAATCTGACTGTCTGCAGGTTTTACACGCAGTTACTGTCCCTCCGTTTACAAAGGCAGAGGCGTCACGGTGTCATTATTTTACATGTAGTTGTTTTTTCCTGTGTAATAATGTTCAACATTGCATCAATACATTATTCAAAAAATGCCTCTCTGTGCAAAATGTGTCCAAAAACATAAACAGCTGTGGGATCCTGTTTGTCTGTGACAGAGGGAACAAACCGTGGCAGGATCAGCCTGATGTTATTTGCATCCTGCTGTAACTTTACTGTATAAAGAGCAAACATCTCCAACATGTCAGGAGCAGTTAGTCATTACAACAAGTGTTTGTGAACTAAAAATCAAGAATGTGGGATCCTGTTTGTCTGTGATTTAAACAGCCCAGCGCTGCTCCTGATGCAGGGAAACCAACCCTGCAGGGAGACCTACCTCAGCACCTGTGCAGGTGAAGCCAAAGGGCAGATTTGCTTCACCAGATTTTCTAGTCTTTGGCTTAGAATGAAGTTGGTTTGGAAACATATTCAGCGACGCTTCATCTCCTGCTTTGCGTTTGTGTGGGAGCCCCGTCAGAAACTTGTCCATGTACCAGTGTCCACGTGTTTCACGGTGAAATTGTAGTTTTAGTGCCTGAGCGGCAGAGTTCAAGCGGGGGAGGGGTTTATATCACGCTCTTTAGGGTTAGGGGTAAGCGCTCTTTTTTCTTTCTTTTTTTAAAAATTCATCCCGCCCCCCGCCCCACACTTTGGGAACCTCTGTTTTACAAGCAGGTGGAAGTCAGGAGGCTGAGCACACAGCGCCCCCTGTTGTTGTCCTGACTGTGTCCATCCTTTATATCCAGTCTGTGTAAATATGAAGCCTCCTGCTCACAGATGGTCATTGACTATGTTGATGACAGCCGTGATTTTGGATCCTCCATCATCACATCGTGTCCTCCTCACGCTCAGCATGGAGCAGCTCCATCTGTTGATGAAGGTCATGTGATGCAGATCCTCCCAGCAGCCAATAAACAGGTGACACGTCACGCTGGTCGTTAGATTTAGTGTCGGTGTCATGCTGAACATTTTCAATAAATCACTGAAAAACGGACAGACGGACGTGAACGCGACGGGATTTCCGACGCTCGTGCCCGTGCTCCTGTGGCTGTCGTTCCCTCTCCTCCGCTTGTGAACGCGCGGGAAGCTGGGAGCGAGCGTCAGTGATCCAAGGACAGAGCAGAGGGGCTCGTGAGCATCAGGTCACCTGGAATTCCGCGAGCGTACCGAAACGGAGGAGACCCGGACCCGGAGCAACAGCACCGAGCCCGGGAGAACCGGGCTGTCCGTGACGGTCCGACCCGGACCCCAGCGATCTCGGTGTCACGGGGCTCCAGCGGCTCTCTGTCATAAACAGCAGCAGACTCAGACCCACGGACACACCGAACCGGGCCCACGGAAACACGGGAGGACAAAACAGAAATCAACAGGAGGCCGAGTAACGGATCCAGAACCGCAGGACCGGATCAGTGAGTGTTTATTGTGCTGTAAATGTGCTGTATGAATGACCGCGGGCAGAACCACGTGACTGTTTTTACACTTTATTGATTCGTTTGGGTTTTTACAAAAAATAAAAATAAATAACAAGATCAGAGGGAGTAACTGCAGAGTAACTGAGTATTTTTGTTTGAGTACGGCTCTGAGCAAAGCAAGTGTCCTGCAACGTGACACAAACTGGACCTGGACTCAGAGCTGGTCTCAGATCTGGTCTCAGACGGGACTCCGACTGGACTCAGAGCTGGTCTCAGACTGGACTCAGACTGGACTCAGACTGGACTCAGAGCCGGACTCAGACTGGACTCAGAGCTGGTCTCAGACTGGACTCAGACTGGACTCAGACTAGATCAGTCT